TATCAAAAAAGGGGAACATTTAGTAGGAGTTTTTTTTATTACATTATACATTTACATTTCTTGAATTTAAACTTATCTATTTAAATTGATAAGTTTAAAACCAAGATCTGCATATTTTAGACCTAATGATAAAAAAACATTAAAAATGTAGGTAATTTATATTACTTTATATATATATATATATATATATATATATATATATATATATATATATATATATATATATATATATATATATATATATATATATATATATATATATATATATAAATATGTATATATATATATATATATATATATATATATATATATATATAATATATATATATATATATATATATATATACACACCTGTATAATGATATGTTTTACGTATTGGTTTTCAACGAGGAAATACAAACAAGACAATCTTTTCAAAGTTTTCTAGCTAATATGGAAAATTATGAAAAACTAAATGCAAGGTTCTCTGTCGTTTTACAACTGATACCGAACAAAAAACACACGAGTTTGAATAAAAGGTTGTAAAAACGGAAATATGCATAACGCTTACCATGTGCTAAACCTCTAATTTATAAAAATTAATTACTATGTCTTGTAAATCTGTGAACCTGTAGTAAAAATATTTATTTGCTAGAAATATATATTATATTACTGACTATACCTATATTTGTATTGTTTAAACTACCGAAAGCGCGTTTTCTTATATTAATGAATAAATTCAATTTGAAACGTGACATTCTTAGCCAATAAAACGGACTTTTGGTAGGATGATTTTTTTTTTTTGGCTACCGACAGTCGAGAGGTTTTTAAAATTACTTATTCTACCGAAAGCCTGTTTTTAGTTGATTTTGACACGCGACATTCTTAACCAATGAAACGGATTTTCGGTAGGACAAGATTTTTTTTTGGCTACTGACTTTCGGTAGGCTATCTTTGGCAAAATTATATACTTGGATAAAACCATAACCACATTTTTCTCTCCGTAAAATTTGCATGTACATTAAAAACACTTTGCGCAATGCATTTTTGTACCTTCGCCGGCGAGCCTTTAAAGATACGTTTATGGTCCAACAATCACTAGCCAGTTCTAGTGCGCCGGCTAAGGCACTTAATTGGATCACACGTGTTTTTGTCGGACCTGGCTCGCCAGCTCTGGCCCATTAATGTACTGCTGATTGGGTTGGCTAGCCTTTAAGATGTACAAACCCATGTTGAGACTAATAATAGATTGCGCAAGTGTTTTATAATCCTATCTCTTCGCAACCTTGCACAGTGTATGTTAGATTATTTTAAACTATATTTCTTTGATAATATACTTAAAGATGATTTAATTTTTTTTTATATGTATATATTTCGCCGTTTAAATATTGCTACAATACTAAAATGTATAAATAAATATTTACATGGCCGGGACAAAAAGAAGACAAAAACAGTATTATCACTAAGCCCCGAAATTTACACCGTGTTTTTACATTATAAGCAGTTGTTTTATAAGATAAATATTTTATAATACAGTTAAAAAGTGAAATATACTTTTGTTTAATTAACAAAAGCCAAAAAATAAAATTAAAAAAAATAAATAAATAGATAAAAACATGACGCAATTCAACAAAAGTCAGTAATAAATAAAAAAAAAACCTCAAGGTATACAATAAACAAAATAAGAGCTAATTTGAAATAAAGTTATAAAAAGAACTATTTGCTAAAGTAATTATATAAATTGTTAATCAATAAATATTAATAGGATTAAAAGTTATTTTTTGCACTAATTAAGTTAATAATAACAAGAGCAGAAAAAAGCAAACCAAATTGCTACGCATAATTTTATTTTTACATTTTGAATAATAACAGTTTTATTTAATTTTTTGTGATTAAAATCTCATTATGTTTTTTTTTTGTTTTGCTTTTTCTGGCGCCTCTATTATCTTGGCGCCCGGGGCACGTATGACCCTTTTGCTCCTCTCTCTCGGCGACCCTGCCAGCATCAACACCTTGTTAAATATTAAATTAATTTTTTGTTGTTATAGTTTATATAAAATTGTTACTATTGACTTCAGCTGTTCTTTTGTTTTTAGATTTAAAAAATTTCATCCAAAACATAGTTAAACATATATATACATTCAAAAAAGTTTAGGTACTGTCCAAATACTGTTTTTTTTTTTTTTTTTAACTAAAGTCACTTTTAAATGCCGAGGGAGTAAAAAAACAGTCGAGGAGGGTTCTATTTATTCTTAAAATAAATTTGAAATAAAAGTAAAAAAAAAGCATAAGTTGACAAGTTACTGAACTTTATCACTTTGCGAGTAACTATGAATTTTAAATGTAATAGATATTTTAATTGCTTCATGAGAATTTGACTTAACGGGCATAATTTAAAGCAAAATTTGGAATGACTTTGTTGTAGCACAGATTTTTTGCAAGATCGTATTCAATAGATATAACTAAGACATTGGTAAGCCGATCTTGACTTATTGTAGATCTTAGTTTTGTCTAGACCAAGCTTACTAAAAGATCTCTCTTTCGGCAATGGAAACGAGAACCGTGTTAAAAATACGTGTTAAAAATACTATTCTTTGGGACTGAAAAGCTTAGCGCGCTTCAGAATATCTAGATGATGGACCTCTAAAATTAGTTTGTCTTCATCTACTCTATTGTTCTCATAGATTTGCGCCAAAGTTTTACATTTCTCCTACAGGTGGTTCAATTTTCTTCACTCGACCTACTATTAGAGTCCGAGAACCATAGGAAGGAGAAATTGTTTGTCATTTTTTCTGCAGATCAAAATCTGCCTCTTATTTGTTGGATTAGAGTATCGAGAGCGGTGTTCTTCAGCCGTTTTTCAAAACGCCTTAAAGTAAAAAAAATCAAAATTGACTTTTTTAGAAAATAAGCGTATTTAGGTGCCTGCAAAGGTTATTGAATAATTGTTTTTAAAGAACTTTAAAAAAGTTCATGCAAATTATAATTTTCAAAAAACGTTATACAAAAACTTTCTTGTATTATTATTTTTTAATGCGTTTTTCTCGAAATAAGTAAAAAGCAACTAAAGGCGTTTTGAAAAACGGGTACAGTGTTGAATACGTTCAATACCTCAAACAAATACGTTAATACCTTAAACAGCTTTTCATCGTTTTCGTATAAGTTAACTTCATTTCTTGCTTTTTTGTAAAAGGTTTTCCTCTTCCTTGTCCTTTTTTGAACTAACTTTGACTAAAACCCATAACTAGCTGGACCGGAGGTAAGCAAATGTCCTTCATTAATTAATTCGGGCCTAGAATATCTAAATTCATAAGATCCCCAATAGGAACCCTCATAAGCTTTTCATCTTAAGTAATGTTTCCTGATTGAAATGACACGCAGAAAATTGCTTAGCGCGCTTCGAACCAGAAGGTTGTCATGATAACAAACTCAAATGAATAAATCCATTTCTCCAAAGATTTTACTTCATTCAATAGATCAAATCAAGTTCCTGAAGTTTCTGCAAAGAAAAAATAATTTGTCTAAGTGGCTTAACCAACGGCTTCAAAGTCTCAATCCGTGCACTCCATCGGGTTTGTGAGATTTAATGAAGAGACAAACTAGTTGTCTTGGTCAAGATTTGACATAGTATAGGGCTTCCGCTAAAAAGATTGTAGAGTAACTGAATCCGGCCACAGAAGTTCTTCATTTCTACAGAAGATTCAAGGGAATAAACACCAGCTAGGTTAATGTTATGAGCGCTGCATAGCATGTAGAAAACTTCAGGATTTCTCTGGATGATCGCTTTTACTCCTTTGTACACACCAGACATGTTGGCACCGTTGTTGTACCCTTGACCTCGACAGTTCTTCAGATTGATATCATTTTGATTTTAAAAATCCATAATTATCTTGGCAATAATCACACCTTTCTTTTGTTTCAAATTTTCGACCTTAAGAAAGCGCTTCTTAACTACCTGTCTTTTATCAATACCATTGTAGACAAAGCGAAGAACAAATGGAATTTGCTTAGTATAAGAGATGTCAGGAGTTCTGTCCACAAGGATAAAATAGTAAATTACTATATGCGCATCTTTAATGATGGCACTGTGGACGATTCTTCCGCACTTTTTAAAAAAAATCTATCTATCAAATGTATATATATATATATATATATATATATATATATATATATATATATATATATATATATATATATATATATATATATATATATATATATATATATTTAATTATATATGTTCTTTTTAAACCTAGCAGCCTTTAAAAGTATTTTTCCGCAACGGTTTTGGCTAGTGTCAGACTCCCGGATATGAATTTGGCTAATGCTGTATTGTTGAGTAAACAATTCATTTTTAAATTACGAGTTTAAAGAGTTTTCCATTAAAGCCCTGTGTATCTATTTTATAATAAAATAAAAAAAAACTTATATGTATATATATAAACACATCTGTATAATAGACACCAGTAATTTTTAACTTTTTTTCGAAATTGCAATTACTTCAAGCTGGAGTACCTTCTTTAGACCATAAAAACATTATGGGCAAAATATAAAAGCTTCAAGTATTTCCGATTCTATCTTATTTGGTCTTAAATTTATCATATATTATCATTAAAAAGTAAAAAAAAAAAAGAGGTCACACAATAAATATTTGAAACGTTAACGCACAAAAACTTTTATAAATGTATTCTTTATAAGGATAAGTTGTATAAATAATTTTAACTTAAATTTTTAAGGTTGTTTTTAGGGTATTGGAAAAATAACTAAAACAATAAGCGGTTTTCAATAATCATTAGCCATTAACTGAAAAACGGATTTAAACATAAACAACAATGTTATGTTGTTGCAGCACTTTTTATAAGGATTTACTCTCAGAAGCAAAAGAAGTATTTTTACGGGTGGTGACTCCCCCCCCCCCACTCACCCAAAAAAAAAAAGATTTTATTATGCCCCTTTTGACTACTACTAAATATATTATACTTTTACTGCTGAACCAAACTAATAATAATAATAAACGAACATATTACCAAATAGATTAATTTAAAGAAATGATAACAAATTACAATGTATAATCTTTCTTTGTTCTAAAATATTTTCGTTTCTTTTGACTTTGGCATTTAGCTAGAATATAAGCACTTCTTTTCTTATAATAATTTTTAAATAAATTTTCCGCTAGCATCAGAAGTCATTTTCACTGTTCTTTCGACCGTTTGCGAGTGGCATGGAAAGTTGGGAGCCTTTCCCTGATTCGGTATTATATTCAAAAGCTCCTCATTTAATATATCTTCCACACAAGGGGGCTCAAAACAGTCTATATCATACAGATTTATTAATTTTGACCAGTTTTTACATCTACAATCAATAATTGGAATGGCATTAACCCTAATACCATCTTTTAATCCATTTTTAGGATCCTTAATTAGAGTTTTTCTTGTTTCCAAAATCTTAACAACAGCAATTGTTCTATAAACCTGTTCTTCAGAATAAAGTAGAGCAGCAATAGAATTTTCAGGTTGGAGACAAAAAGAGTTTCTATAAATTATGGGCAATGTAATATTTTGAACTTCAGTATCCAACCTCAAAATCCGCTGAATAAATTGGAAAATAAGTTTAGGACCCTCTGTGAAACTCTTAGACTTTTTAATATTAAACCACATAGGAGTATATACTGTTTGAATATATTCAACAAAGATTTTGAGCTCTCTACTGGGATTGATTGTTCTTGTGTATAGTGCCAAGATCCGTACTGCTGTTGTCAGCCACCTTGCATGACAAATAGGGCCTAAAAATATAATCTTTTATATATAAAAATTAATTAATAGTATAATTTAATAATAAATTATATATTAATAAATATATATTTACACAAACTTCAAACAAACAAAATAAAAGGAAAAATATTAGGAACAAATGATTTACAAAACAATACACCTATTTTTTTTCTCAGATACTTATTGTCTGAAAACTCTCTAGAAATTCCAATACTATATTCCAGTAGCATTCTCTGGTCAGCAGAGAGGTCTTTAATGACACACAGAGGAGGATATTCAATGTCTGTCTCAACTTGTATGAAGTCAACAGTTAAATTTAAATGAATTGGATTTGTCAAAGATTTTCCAACTGGTCCTTTAAAATATTATTATTATTATTATTTGATCAAGTATATTAATATTAATAGTTATAACTTTTTACTAAAAATAATAATTTATATTTATGCTTATCAGAATAAAGTAAAGCAGCAATAAAACTCTTAAGTAAAAAATAGATTTAATATATATAAATATATAAATTTTAATCTATAAATTTTAATCTATAAAATATAAATTTTAATCTATAAATTTTAATAATGTTGCTAAATAATAATCGGGTAATCTAAATAATAATATTATCACCTAGAATGTAAAATAATATTATTATTTAGATTACCCAAATAATCATTTGAGCTATTAGAAGAACCATCAAGTTTAGAAATTAAATGATGCAATGGTAACTCGTTAACATGTAGAAGACAGCCAATTAAATGAATTCTTCTTTTCAATATTCTTTCAAGACAAGCAACTAAACCATTATCTTTACCTAAAATGATATAGTAATATGAAAATATATAACTCAAATAAAGATTTATGTGTTATCTTTTTTTATTTTTCAGACAGGCATTTTTGAAGAAAAAATATACCTGTATTAACACTTGTATTGTCCAAAATTATTGCCTGGATACTTTTATCACTCTTAAACTCCTTGAGAACATTACAGGTAAATTCAGCAAGATCTTTTCCTTTACCTTTTTCTTTAGGTACATCTATGTGCTTTAGATATTGACCTTGCAACTCGCCTTATTCAAATTAAAACATTTTTATTAGTAAAAAAAAAAATTAAAAAAAAAAATAAAATACAGAGACAAAAGAGATAACATTGGGCTTTACCTGATTCAATTGTGAATGTCAAGTGGTCTACAGTGCTAGTAGATTTACAAAGATTTATTTCACCGTCAATATCTCTCTGTTCCTAAACCAATGAGTTTTTATTACGTTTGCTATCCAAACCAATTGCCTTTATATTTGAAACTTTAGATTGCTCAAAACTAGCATTAAAGCATACTCGTTTTTTCTCTCTTTTCATTTTACTTGGATCAATTACATCATTTAGATGTAGATAACCAATATCTTGAAGTAGAGCATTAGCTACAGCGGCAGCTGCTTCATCTGATATTCCATATCTAATTACCTCTAAAGCAAATTTGGGATAGTGGGTAGTGTTATAGTTCTTTGATCTAGTCTGATTTAATGATGAAATTGAAGTTTCACTCTGTAATTATAGAAAAAAATACAACAAAACTTCTAGAAATTAAAAATCATAACAATGAAAGTGTTACATTTAATTGTATTAACATCTAAATGTAACACTTGACTCAAGATAATTAACTAATTAACTTTAGAGCATTATATTTAAAAGAATTAAGAAATTTAAGAATATATATACAGTTTTTATCATACAATCAAAGTTTACAGGTCACAATTTATTACCTGATCTGAATCCATGATTGTGTCAAACTCTTTAATATAAATTTCTTCATCAGAAGCTTTTGTTTGCTTTGTTTTTCTTGAAGTAGGTGATAAAACAGAGTTATCAATACCTCCTATTTGAAACTTTCCTTTAGTACCAATTTTCTCCCTTTAGTCTTTTATATAGGAGCGCTCTTCCAAAAGAACCTAAATAATTATTTCTGGTTTTAAATATTATCTTCAATTAATTTGTTTAAAACGTATTATTATCTTAAAAATATAAAAAATAATCATAAAATATAAAAAAGTTTATCAATAAAATTAAATAATTTATTTAAAGTTTAATTTAAAATAAATTACTTTAAATTTGTATAACTTACTTTTTTACTACCAACACAACTACAGTAAAGATGCACATTTGAACAACCTGAGCATTTGATATTCCTGTCATCACAAGGAAGAACTTCAAGCTTGCAGTTACATGCTAGCAGATCAAAAAGTTTTTTTTTATTTTTTTCCAATATTTTTTTGGTCAAAGGTTTAATTTTATTTCCATTCCAAGAAATAACATTATTATAAAATCTTAAAAGTTTAACAATCAAACTTTTTTCAGGTAACAAAACTAATTTGGAATTGCAATTGAACCATATTTCTTTTAAACTACAAAGCGTTCTTTGAATAATAATATTTTTGTCTTTAATACCATCTAAATCTTTTAATTTGTAGAAAAATCTTGCTACATCACCATAAGTTGCTAGATCTGCAATAGGAAGATCAGAAGGGCTACCACCATATAAATTACACCGTCTAGTTCTTTTTACAGGAGGCATTTTTTTTATTATTGTAATAAATTAAGCTTGATAATATAGTTAATATATATTAAAGATTTTATAACTCCTTAAAAATAACAGTAAAACGCTTTCGCAAGGTTCAATCTACAATTTGATATTCTACTTTTTGGTTTGTTTACATTTCTTTAAGGCCGGATGTCATAATAAACAGGGTGTCACCTCAAAACAAACTTAAAAAAGTGTATAAAACTATTTTTAAAAAACACAGTTGAATAACTGGAAAATATATTTTTTATAATTATTGAATCAATTATGCACAAAAAATATTTTTTTTAGTTTTTTTAGTTTGCCTTTCAAAACAGTCCTTTCTAGTTCTTTCAGTTTATCTAGCAGAGTGAACACCCCGATATATCCAATAAAAATGGCGATTTATAAGAAATCTTTTAAGATGGAATTTTAATGCTTATTTTTAAAATAAGATAGCTTCTACTCAACTTTAAAAGTTACTTTTTTCGCCAAAATTCCTATTTTTTTATAAGGTAATTACTCCAGCTTGAAGTGATAAATTTCCAGAAAATGCTGGTGTCTACTGTATAATGATATGTTTCAAAAAAATCATTTGGTTTTGCAAGTTAATGTAACTTGATATAGTATTTTTTTTAAACAAGGATAGAATTTCTTTTTACTTGCTTAGCTTATTTATACTTTTGGTTCAACGATTATTTTAAAAAATTGTTTAAAAGATGAAACGTTTAAAACAAATACGGTTATATTAACAATAAAGTTGATAAAATTTATAACAAACAATCAAACGCAAATTTTTCGTTTGGTTTTTTTTCTTTTCAAATTTAAGAAAAGTTGGATTTGGTTTTTGATTCTACCATTATCTACTTTTTCCATTGCCTTGTTTTAAATTTTTATTCATGTTGTGCATTAGTTTAGTAGGCCAACACAATTTTTAAAATTACTGGTACACATTTTCTATATTTTGATATCATCAATAAATATAAACAGCGTGAAGTTTTTTTTCGCACATCTTATTTTTATAAAGTCATAAGTTTTGAACTGCGTTTTTTGCTTAACTTTAAAGAGTTTTCTAAATTTTATGATGGTGGGTGTGCAACGAAATTGATGTAAAACAAAGCAAATTTTTAGTTTTATGTATAAATAATAAGTTTCTATTTTATTTATCAAATCTTTAAATTTTTAAATTTCTGCAAAAAACAAACTTGAAATACTTACTTCAATTTTGACAATTGTTTTAGTAAACACCTTTTAACGGCGCATAAAGGTTTTTGTCAGGTTTATTTGATTTCGGAGAATTTCTAATTTTTTTTCGTTGCAAATAAATGCAAATGAATCTTTTGTTGATTTTTTTTTTAACTCATGTAACAGTTATTCTTTAACAGTTATTTATTATAACCTTATTTATTCATGTCTAATACCTTATTTATTCATTTATTAATGGTTTGATACCGTGTTTATTGAGGTGATGTTAGTTCCCTTGTTTACTTAGGAAATGATTTGTTCACTTAGAAAATGATTAAAAATTTGATTTACTCAAATTATGGTTTTGTACTTGTTATTCTTAGATATTAGTTTAATATCATATTTACCAAATTAAACTACTTAAGCTCTGACGCTTAATTGATAGTAGTTTAATTATTTTACTCACAACATGTTTTAACGTTTTCTGAAGAGTTCTGACTTTGTTGGTATTTAAAACTAAATTTTAAATCATGTGTCACAATAATCTTGGAGCAATACCTAATAGATAGTCAAAAATCGATGACAGTAATGATGATGATGCTGCTATAGCTGATGACGATGATGATGATGATGATGATGATGATGATGATGATGATGATGATGGTGATGATGATGATGATGATGATGATGATGATGATGATTTTGATGCTGATGAGAGTAATCATAATAATAATGATTTGATATTTTTTTTTACACTTTTATAGAAGCTATTTTACCAGATATGGATCCGAAAATAACATCAATTTTATCTGAAAAAATGTCATTTGAATGGAAAACTTTTGCTCGTGGTACAGGTACAAAAGCAGCCATTATAGATTTTTTTGATTTGGACAAAGGAAGTGATCAAACTAAAATGGAAATGTTTCTTACTGACCTAGTTAAACGAAATGAAAACAGTTATTTCGCCTTGATAGAAAAATCTTTAAAAGAATTAGGAAAAGATGAAATTTTAAATGAAACAAAATATTTATGTAAGTGCAATAGCATTTATTTCTTCATTTATAAACTGTTTTCATTATTTTGTAAGTCTATTTGATGCAGTTATGTAAGTTATACTTTTGATAAACTAATTTTTGAATAATAGTGATGGTGTTTTTAAGCAACATTTATTTCAAAAAAGTTTTGGCTAAAAAACATAAAACAAAAAAACAAAAAACAAAAAAAAAAAAAAAAAAACATAAAAAAAAAGGTTTCAGATAAATAATAAGAAGAGGGTTTTGTGAAAAAATCTTGAAAAATTTTTGTTCATGAACTTTTGTCATAAAATAATTAAAATAATATGTTATTTTAACATGTTAATCATTTATCAAAACATTTATTTGTTTTTTATTATTTTGGTTAATTATTAGTAATATTTGGATAACCATATTATATATGTTAAAATAATTTTCTTCCAGACAGATACAATTAATCACAATTTACAAAATATTTCTATAAATATTTAGTGCCGGGTAGAGATAATTGACTGTTTGTAATTGACTGTTTTTTGCCAGAAGTTTTGTAAGTTTTACTTTAGTAACCAAAATCAAAGTGTAAAAAATTATGTTTTGAAAATTTGTACAGAGAATATTTAGGTGAGGTTACTAAGTCTACCTACTATGATCAATATGCATAAAAACAACAAATTGCGTTAATTGGGTATGATCGAGGGTAGCTGGATAAAGAAATAAGTAAGTTTTATAAGTGACACCCACATTCATAAAGTAGTTCTCAAAATTTCTTTTTTCTACTTCGCAACTACCTTTTAGGTCAAACGACCTATTTAGCGCTGTTCTAATAGACCTGTCGTCTACATTATCAAGTTCTTTTTTTTTTAAACTGTTCATCAGCCCTAAGCAGTTAAAAAAGTTTTTTATAGTTAGAAAGAAGAAATTTAAGAGAAAAGAATAGATAGTTGATGCAAATACTCAAAAGAGAGATTTGATTGAAAAAAACCTTAAAATAAAATGTTGGTAAACCTACGGAAGAAACTTAAAACAGTTTACAATACAGTAATAAAAAACCATCTAAAGAGTCAAATATGGATTAGATCGTTTGATAATCTCAAAGAAGTTTATTTCTAGATTAAAGAAGATCAAAGAAGAGTAATTCTAGATTATCCTTTAAAGGATTTTGATGTTAATCTTAAAGAAGTTTTAATAATACTAGATTACTCTTTAAAGGATTTTGACGTTAAGCTTAGAGAAGAGGATTTTAAATAGAAAGTTATCATGTTGCTCTTAAAGGGAATTTAACAATTATAACTTATTAAACGAAACGACACCTTCAAACGAGTATGTGAATTTAAAAATCAATAGTTTAATGTTAATGTTAACTTAACAATCAATAATTTGATGTTAATGTCATTTTAAAAAACAAATTACAATCTCAAAAAATAAATGATTAATGAATTATTTAATCTTCAATCTTTTCAAGTTTTTGTAAACAATCAAAAGTTAACAATTTTTAACCATTTTTAAAATGTTTAATATGTAGTTTTATATTGACACTACTAAAAGTTGCAAACTGAAAAAGAAAACCAACAATAAACATCTTTAAATAATGTGTGGTTTAATGTATACAATTCTATCAAATGAATTCTCATTTGAAGTATTTAAAAAAAATTTAATCCTACCATAATTTTTTTTATTTTGTTGTCTTAAATGGCATAGACTAGGTGTCTATAACGGTTACAAAAAAAAAAAAAAAAAAAAAACAATTTGCAGATATCAAATTGCATGCTATTTCCTAGCAGGCCTTTGGTCTTAAAAAGACATCTTTTGAACGTCTTTTGAACGTTCTAAAAACGTCTATTTAGGACCAAATGCCGGCTGGGTTGTAAACATTTTGATAGATTTGACATATAATATATAAATCTTAATGAAAATGATATATGAACCTTTACTACAAATTGTCGTTGTCACTAAAAAGTACAAATTAAAAAGAAAAATAATTTAACATCTTCGGATTTTGTGCAATTTTAATTTATTTCAAAAGAATTGATAAGTAACATTTATACAAGGTGCTGTTGCTACACAAAAGAACGCAAAATATAGACATATAAATTATCTTATGATTAGTCATTTATAACTGTTTTTTTAAAAAATGAAAACTTAATACTGTTATGAGACGTTAATGACATAAAAGATATTTAAATTGTATGCAATTTACTTTAAAAGTTATATGTATTTTTACCATTTGAACTGTCGATGTAATAAAAGAACGCAAAATAAATAAAGACAATAAGCAAAGAATAACTTCAAAATTTATCAAACTTTTGTATTGGAAAAGTTTTCCCTACTAGAGATTATAAAATAAAATTGATTTTTATGAAACCAAATTAATTTTGAAAACAGATAATTTATAACATTATTAATGGTGCAACCTATTGTTGCTAGTAACGAATAGAAAATAGAAACGTTGCACAACATTATGTAAGGTCATTAAGGTCTGTATTTATTAAAATATTTTATTATTATAAAGTGTACGTAATACCAGCTTTTGTTTTCATAACAACAATAATTTTGTGACATTTAGTTATATATCGTACTCTTTACATCCTTGCTTCACATTTTTTTAATTAATTTACATCCTTTGGCACTTTTTGTTTAAAGCTTTTCAAATTAGGTCTAATCTGGGTTAGATTTTCCCAGACATTTTTTGTTTAGTATGTTTTAAATATTTTTATTTCCCAGACATTTTTTGTTTTAAATATTTTTATTTCTGTAAAAACATAGCAAGAGTTTTAAACCATTTTTAACATCTTCAGTTTTGACAAATGAAAGCAATTTTTTTTTAAATATAATTAAAAAAAAAATTAATGTAGTATAAATATATTAAAATCCAGAAAGTTCTTATATAATGGTATTGTGTGGATAGTTTTGTGGAGAAGATTAAAAGAAATGATTTAAAAATCCTGAGAATGTTTCTGTAGTGTTTTGCCACGCGAGGTTAGAATTATTTTGTTTTATCTCCACTTTTTGAAAAAATTGATTTATCGATTGTGTCATGTAGGGGAGAGTTGCCTTAATTGGAACACTTAAGGAATAAATATTTATTACTCAAAGATGGCTTTACTATGAAAATATTTATGATTTGATTAATACAAACAGACATCCCTACAACACTTTTAACCACAAATTGACGTAATTGATTGCACTGTTATTGAAAATAAATTTGTTTTTGCAAAGTTACCATTTTGTTCCAATCAAGGCAACTGCTTCCCTAAATTAGAACCCTTTGATTCCTTAATCAAAACAGGTTATTTAAAAAAAGCAACAACTTGTAAATCAACAAAATTTGTAAAAAATGATTTTCATCTTTACAGTGAAAACTTGAACAGTTAATTCAAAACTTATTATAGGATTAGTATAACCCTAACAAATTTAAAGTCTACAAATAAAAAATTGTATAAAGCTTCAACTATTATGACGTTCTCTTAGTTTATTGATTAAAAATCATTATTATTTTTATGGTTGTTACTAAGTATTTTTTTAATTGTACTCGAACTATTTTTACAACCCTTTGATTCTATTACTGATTAGGTAAGAAAAACGTCAATGTTCCAATCAAGGAAATTTTTGGCTATTTTATTATTTTACAACAATGACATACTTGCTGCAACTTATATGATAAGATTAAATAGTTATTTTGCATTTTATATCCCATTGAACTAAACACAAAACACGGTATAACCTGTAGCACCATAGTTTACCCAGCTCAATCAATATAGTGTGAACGCAAAATTAGATCGCTGAAAAAAATGACGCAAAAAAACTTTAAATCAATGGTGCAAACGCATTTTTTGAGGAATAACTTTCAAAATGTGTCAAAACGTAGAAAATAATGCTTTTTACTAAAAATATGCAAAAAATAGCGATAATTATTTTTTTTTTCAAAAGTAAATACAAGTGTTCTAATTAAGGTGCTGTTACTATTTCGGTTACTCTCCCCTACCTCAAAATAATGTTTTTCTACTATATTAAAACCTTTTACTAAGTTAAAATCAAAAGAAAACATAAGCAATAGAAATCTTTTTATATGCCGTCTCCTAAAGTTTTTATTTTTTAAGTTGTTTTATCTCAAACAAAAAAATGTGGAGATAGATCAAAATAATTTTAAACTCACGATTACCATTGATTTAAATTGATAAAATCCGATTTTTTTGATTTTTTCAAAAATATCGTTTTTTTGAAAAATCAAAAATTGATTTTTTCTAAACCTGCTTTAAACATTACATTTATGTTTTTTGTTGTCATGAGCAGTGACTATTAAGTGCTTATCACTATGGAACTTGATATTTCTATACGGCTAAAAAATAAGTTACAAATATATTATACTTAATAATAGCTGAATAATCGAGTCAACGACTTAAGGTCATAAAACCCAGAGGGAATTAAGATTTAAAATCAAAATAATTATAAAGGGTCCGCCAAATAGCATTTTTTTTTTTGAAAATGCTATAAAAAAAAAAAAAACAACTGAATATTTTCTCAAATTTCTTTTTTTATTTGAAAGTACAATCCTTCCGAATAATAATGGAAAATAGTTTCATTCAAATGGCTGCCTCGGCTGGCTATGATGTAGCCTACACGATCGGTCCAATTTTTAAGCACATTATCGATTGTGTGCTGCCGTATTTCACCAATGGCTTCACGATTATTGTCTTTTAAAGCGTCAATTGTCTCTGGCTTGTCGGCGTAACACTTATCTTTGAGGGCACCCCACAAATAATAGTCCAACGGTGTCAAATCGCAGCTCCGAGGTGGTCAAACCACATCAGCTATGCGGCTGGTTATGCGATCTTCAAAAAAAGAGCGCAAAACATTGAGTGTAGCTTCGGCTGTGTGGCACGTAGCGCCGTCCTCTTGAAACCAAATGTTGCCAATATCCTCCTCTTCAATTTTTGTGAACAAAAATTCGTTCAACATGGCCCGATAACGATCGCCATTGACTGTAACGGCCACTCCTTGCTCATTTTTGAAGAAAAATGGCCCAATTATGCCTCTAAACCAAAATCCGCACCAAACAGTGACTCGTTTTGGGTGTATCGGCTTTTCAATGTATGCGTGCGGATTTTCTGTGCCCTAAATGCGATAATTTTGCTTGTTTACATACCCGCCAAGATCAAAATGAGCTTTCTCTGAAAAGATGAAATTTTTGGCAAAATTGGAATCTTCTGTAAGTCGATCGCAGGCCCACTCCGCAAAGCGATAACGCATTGGATGGTCAGTTGGCTTCAACTTCTGAACCAATTGGACTTTGTATAGCGTCATACCAAGGTCTTTATGCAAAATTCGTCTCAATGATGTCTCCGAAATGTTCAATTGTTGAGAACGACCAGGTATATATACCTGGTTGTATATACCTAACCTATACATGGTTTTTACCTATGATACTTGTATATAGCTAATACATGTTTTTTTTTCTAAAAGAAATTGAGTTTATGAAAAGAAAAAATTGATTTACAAGACGAAACTATATAATTACAAAAAACTTATGTTGTAATCAATACAATTATGATTGTGAACGTTTTGATAACTGTTGTTTGTTGAACGTTTTGATAACTGTTCTGAACGTTTTGATAACTTTGAGATGTTATAGATAAGTTTGAGCGTTTTTATAAAAAATATCTTTTTTCATGCTATGTATCTCAATAAAAAATATTATATATTATATTTCATATATTTTTTACTGTTTATAAGAGGGTTCATAAGCTCATAAGCAGCTTATAGATAAATAGATTCATATAAAACTAGGAGTATTTCATTTTGTATTTGCTTATTTTACTTTAATCTTTGTATAACACGTTCTTCGTTAATTCGTAAAACTGCTATTGTTTGACTATTTATAACTTCTTTATTTAATAGCTGATCTCTTCCATTTAAAAAGGTTGGAATATTTAGTGTTACATCAAAAGGCTTAAGAAATCATCTATTAAAAAATTTAATCAGTCTTTGCGGGATCTCCACTCTCCCATAACTCTCTTTGCAAAAGTCCCGATTGCTTTACTAGTTCAATATTAGAAATAGAACAAATAGTTCACTAATAAATGTTATCACACCAGAAGAAGCAATTAGAACTATTCCTTTAAAGGTAAAATAACACTTATATTTTTTGCAGGTAATGACTAAAATCGTTTTGTAAAGTAAACTCTTAGCACTTTGTTTTTATACCTAATAAAAAAAACAAAAAAATTTAAAGGTAATATGCACCAGAATAAGCATTAACATTAAACCTTGGTCATATGCACCAGAAGGAACATTTAAACCTTGGTCATGCCAAAACTCTTTAGTCTCTAATTGATTTCAAAACTAAATCATGTATCTCGGCTTCCTTGGTTACCTTAGTTTCTATCCCAATGTGTCAAGGTGAGTTTCCACCTTAACACATTCGGATAGAAACCTAAAAGTCAGTCAATTTATTCAAATTCAAATATGCCAATTTTATTGGTCAATCAATGTATGCACATTAGGGTGGATCATTTTGTAGCAAAAGTCAAAATCCAGGATAACTATGCTTTGCAATTTTTGTCATTTATATTTTTATTAAGTTGATTTAGGTGCCCCAAGAAGTCCTGATGGTCTTATCACTGAGCACCGTGGAAGAGCATTTAATAGGAAGTTCATGCCTCCTTCCCAACCGATGTCGCAAAACTTGCCCAGAGGTGGGGTTTGAACTACGTTACGATCGTTACGAGGTAAGTGCGCTACCACTGCACCATAGCTTCTGCTTATATTAAGATGATCATTTTTAAAGCTTTTGATTTTAATGCTAAGTGCAGCAAGGTTAGGTTGATTTTTTTTATTTCTTTTTGTAATTTTTATGTAAAATAGTATTCGGTAATTTATTTAATAGAAAAAAAAAAAAAAAAAAAAAAATTGGAAAGCCTGGTAGTTTTCAAAAAAAGCTAAAAATATTGTTTTGTAGATACAAAATTTCAGTCTGTCTAGTTATCTTACTATAGTACTTTTTTCTTGAAATTTTCCATTTTGATTGAAGCCATTTCAACACCATTTTAATTGCCATTTGCCAATTGAAATTTAATTATCCTCTAATTTGCTACAAGCATCTGCCTTTGATCATCAGATTTGCTTCAAAAATACTTAATTTTAGTTAAGGCAAAAATTTCTAAGCATAAACATTTGTTATTTGATATTTTTTCGGGCCAATAATGACCTAAACTTTGTAGTCGAAATGCGACTAAATATCATTGGCTTAACATTGATAAGCAAGTTTCAAAAAAAAATTTAAAACAGCTAGTTGTTTATTCAAATAAAAACTGAATACTCTCTAAATACGTACTAAATACGTACTAAATACGTGACTTTTTGTTAGAGCATTTTAAAAATCTTTATAGTTCTTAAAGTTAAAGCTTTTGCTCTTGGAGAAGAGGCTGCTTTGTTACTCAAGTAGTACTAACCATGGAACACACATAACACAAATAAAAATACATCATCTAGCATGGTATATATTTTCTGCCTTATATATTATCTTGTGTTACCTTGGTCATCTGAGTTGTCAATTTATACAATTGGACAACTTAGCGCATGAATTTTTCCTCACGATAGCATCAGGCAGTGATAATCTGAAATTTGAAATAACTTCTTCAGCAATAAAGAGTATACTAACTTGACTAACTTGCAATAATTGCAAAGGTTTGCTTCATGCAAAAGTTTGAAAAGTAAAGTCAAGTAAGTTAAAAAGCCTAGTGTTATTTTTTTTGTCTCTTTTATAAAATATTTAACCTAAAGCTAGAGCGCTCCGATTAAAGACTACCATAATTAATAACTGAACTAATTAAAAAAATCTGTTCTCCGTTTGATTATAATATTGAAAAATATTAAAGATCTTTCTTGCTTGAACTTTTTCCTTGGAGATTTCAATTTGAACATCCAGCAGAATATCTTCTGATTTTGGAGCATCTGCAGTATTGACAATTAATGTCAGCCTTTCATTTGAAACAGAGAGTGTTTTTCTGCTCACAAACTTGTTTTACAAGTTTATTAAGAATGGGCAAAGTTATTATTCACATTTACAAATTTAGTATCGATGGGCAACATTAATATCGATGGGCAACATTTGTATTGATGGCAACATTATTCTCTTTGCTATTAAACATTCAGCTGTAAACTTTAAAAGAACTTCGTGATTATTCTGTCTACAAAAAAGCAGCCTTGATACAGTGGTTGGAGTTTTGACTCAGAATCATGAGGTTCAAGATTTGATGCCGACTCTAGCCCAATTGGCTAATCAAGCCTTTACAGAATTTCCCCTTCCCCTCTGCTCTCTTTGCAAAAGTCCCGATTGCTTTACTAGTTCAATATCAGAATTTGGTCTGGAAGGAGGAGTTAACTTTCTGGATAAAAATTGCTCTGCGGCGTACTTTGATATGACCGTATCTTCTTTGAGCACCTAAACAACTAAAAAAAAAAAAAATCAGAAATGAACATTTGAATAATATTTAGGAATCAAGTATTTAGATGATCTTTACTTTCTGGTTTAATCTTAGCTTCTACTGTAACATATATAGTTTTACCTGAGGTTTGTCTCTTTTTTTTCCCTTTTTGTTTTTTATGCTAATCTTGAAAGCTTCGTTTGATAAAAAAATTTGATTATAAAGTTTAAACATTTTATTATTCCTTTAAATACTTAACTACGTCAACTTTTTCTCTTAAATTTGTTTATATGTAGATAGATATTAAATTTAAATGCTCTACATAATATTTAATATTTATTTTATTTTATAATAGTACGCAAATCAAAATAAAAAGTATACAAATTATCAAGAGAGTTACTCAAATTGTTGTGGCATGGTTTTTCCTTAAACTTTCTAAGGTTATACTTATTTAACCTTTTTTTATAGATGAAATCTACAAGTTGAAGTTACATTATATTATGACCTATGGTAATTTTTATGCACAAAGCGATATAAACTCATTTAAAAAAAACACTGTTAACCTTTCCACAGACCATTTTGATCTGGTCAAAGTAGAAACTACGTATCTTCAAAACGTTAAAGACGATTTTAATGAGTGGACAGATCATATTGAAAAACAAAACATTTATAAAAAAATAGCTTTTGAGGAAGTGTTTTCACAAGATTTGCCATTTCTTTTGATTTCTGGTATAGCTGGGATTGGGAAGACATACTTTCTTAAGAAGTGCCTTTTGCTTTGGGCCCATGGGCTACTTTGGAAAAACGTTGACTTTGTTTTTTATTTTGATTTAAAAAAACTTAATAATTTAAATGCTATTTCAAGTTTAAATGAACTAATTAGAAAATTTTACGGAAATATATTGAAAGGATTTGAAATTTCATCTCAACGGTCAATTACGCTGGTAATTGATGGGTTAGATAACTTTACACAACTTGATAACTTAATTTATCAAAAGTTAGATGATATACCTTTAATAAATACATTGAATCATGCTTTTAATTCTAAAGAGATTAAGTGCGTTCTTGCAGGAAGAGTTCGAACCGCTATTGCATATTGGAGTGCATGTAAAGGAAACGACGCCATTACAAATATTCAAATTATGGGTTTGAATAATCAAGGAATAACGTTTTATTTTGAAGATATTTTATTAAGCTCTACTCTTAAAAATCAATTGAATAATATTTCATCATTATCAATTGAAGGAAAATTAATACTTTCTGTTCCTCTATATCTAAAAGCAATATGCAAAACAGTTTTAAACATGGGTATTTTTTCTGTAAATACAATTACGGAGTTACTTGGATTAGTCTTCTATTACTTTATACAAAAAAAATACAAAAACAAAACCAGTTCATTGCATGAACTTATGCATATTGAAGCACCATTTATATGTGCCATATGCAACGTTGCTTTTAATTTATTAGAAAACGGAAACTCTTTTGTTTGGCAATTTACTGCTAACGACAGTTTGAAAGAGGATTTTTATTTTATTAAAAAATGTAACATCAATCAACAATATGAATTCCATCATTACATGATGCTAAAATTTTGTGCTTCTGTACATTTGTATATGTTTGAAAGTCTTCAAAAAGCTCATTCCAACAAAAGATTGCATGCGTGTTTACCGATTATTACAGGACTAACTTATGGTAGAGAAAGAAATATGTTAAGTTTAATCAGTAGCATAAAGAAGACAAGAAAAAACGACGACAGCCTTTTACTTACACAAATATTAGGTAAGTTATGAGAATTAATTTTAACTTTTTATTTACACGTAGTCTTAAGCATAATTAGTATAATTTATACGTAGTCTGAAGCATTTTAGTATAACTTTTTTTAACTATTGTTTTTTCTTATTTTACTGTTTGATATAAATGTAGCGTAAAATTTTTTTTAGTTCCTTATCTATATTTGAGTTTAGTACATCAAAGTAATTAATGCTAATAAATAAAAATATAATAAAAACAGTTTAAATAAATATAACAGTTTAAATAGATAATAATAAAAGAAACTTTTTTATTTCCTCCGTATTGCCTGAACATAGAGTGGCTAAGTATATAATTTTGCGCGACACTTAATTTAATAAGCACATGCTACTAGTAGTGTTAATGCAATATTTTCTGGAATCTAAAATATTTCTTGTTGGTTTTTTTTTGACATATTTACGTATGTAACCTAATCTTTTTAATGCATCCTGATACACATGGCTAGAGTTTCTAAGAAACGCAACAATGGTACAGTGGCTAGAGCGTTTGTTTTAAGAAGTAAGAAATCCAGGAGTCGCAGCAAAAATATTCAAGGTTAGCATTACCGGTAAAGGAGGAGGCATGAACGTCCTAGTTAGCTGCTTTTCCGCGGTGCTCTGTGACAAGACCTTAGGTCTACTAGGGATATATAATAAAAAAATTCACCTATTAAACCAGCTGACAAATAATCTCAAAGGCCATTTTTTTAGACCTTATTATAAAGCTAAATTGGCATCTAAGTAATCTAAATGTTAAACCCAATTACCCACCACATATATTAAAGTAAATTGTTTGTTATTACGACTGTCGGCTGATGATCTTGTTTTGATTGATCAATTGATATATGAAATCTTAATTTAGTCCATTGACACACAATCACACTGTGAAAATATTTTTAAACTTACATTTGTTCTACAAAAAGCATGAAAACCCCTTACAATGAATTTTCTATTAGTATCTGTACTTGCTAATCTGTTTATGGATAATTTTAAAGATAAAGAAAAATGGGTGAAATCTTATTATGAGGTAAAACCAGTATTTTAAAGACGTTATGTAGATGACATTTGCTGATTTCCATTCAGATAACCACGCATTTTTATTACTTATTTCATTCTGCACCATTTTTATTCTCTATCAACAAAATTTCTTTTTAAGAAATGTTTTTTGTTCATAGAGAATAAAAACTTTTTTATTCTCTATAACTTTAAATTTTCTTCCTTTTACCATGGAAAAGGAAGAAAATTAATTTTTTTGTATTATTTTTATAGTGACTTATTTAGTGTTATATTTTTTGTTCATAACACTATATAAGTCAAACAGTTTAATGATTGCAAAAGTTTTTCATAAAAAAAACCTTTACTACACTCAAAAAAAAAATCCCTTATTTTTAAGGTAAAAAATAAGGAAATAATCCCTCAAAATCAGCACTGGTAAAGATTTCCTTAAAATAAGGAAATATAATTTTAAGAAAAAAGTTTTTGTCAAAAAAATTTACTTAAAAAAAGAAAATAATTAAGTAAATAATTTCCTTAAAGATGAAAAACTCCTAAATGTAAATAAATAATCAAAGGAAATTTTTCCTTTTGTTGAGAATTGTAATTAAGGCACTTTTTCCTGCCATTAAGGAATGTAATTTAGGCTGACATTGAGGAATTTAATTAATGCAATTTTTTCTGACATTAAAGATTGTAATTAAAGGATAATTTCCTGACAAAATACAATATAAATAAGGCAATAATTCCTGCCATTAAGAAATTTAATTAAGGGCATTTCCTGGTTTCAAAAAACAATATTAAAAAATTGTTTTAATCACTTACATTCAAAACAAAATTGTGTCATTTGGCAACGCTAAGGTTATTATTTTGAAACATGTACAAAAGCAAAATTACAGAATATTTAAACAATAGGTAGCACACAAGATCCTAAAAATTATTAAATCAAACGCATTAAATAAATACACTAATCACAATAAGTGACAAGTGTATAGC